GTCAATCACCCTGTAGGATCAAATCACCCTGCCAGGCCTGCGGATGCTCACGGATGCATCAGGGCCCCGTCTGCCCGTCCCCAGAAGGCCTGTCATCTACTGAGGGTTTTTAGCAAATACTTGTTGGACAAATTAATACATTTTGAAAACTAGCAGCGATGTTGACAGAAGTACAGAGCCTCGACGGGGTAACATGAACTCAGGGATCCTGAAATAGAATGGCCTCATCCATGTGAGTTTGTCTACAGAAAAGGTCAAGTGTGCCTAGGGGTCTTGTTCATAGGGTGTTAGGTCGCTGGTGGTGGAGAGCAGGGTTGCAGAGCCTTTGGTCTCGGCGTCTTATAGTTTCCCCCCCCGATGTTCAGGAAGACACCTGGCAGGGAAGACCTCTCCCCCCAGCTCCCAGCGCCCTGGACACAGTGGGGTGTGGTGGACCAGAAGGCCGATGCCTGAGGTGTCACGTAAGGAGAGAGTTCACAACCAAGAGGGATGGAGAAGCCAGTGCTAGGCACCCAAGTCCAAAGGGAAGAATCCTAAGAGGGAGGTGGGCAGGGACCTTGCTGGGTCCCTGGTAGTTTTCCCTCCCCTCCTCTCGCCCGGGGCTCCCCCCACCCCATCCCCAGGTGTCAGGGCGCTGGGATCATCCCTGGTTTCCTGAGCTCAGCTTCACCTGCAGGCACATCTCTTTCCGCACACCTACTGCTGCCAGATTTCTGCAGCTTAAAGGCTTAGGCGTGACCTCAAAAGCTGCCTGCGCTTGCCCTCTTGATTCCTCCCCCCCTCCCTGATAGGGACTTGAGCAGAGGGGGTGGCTCAGCCCCTTGCAGACATTGCAGGCATCGCCGCACCCTTGAACATGGCCAAGGGGCTACTGATCCCAGCAAGGCCAGGAGAGGAGTTTTTTTTCAGGAAGCCAGGATTAAGCCTGGCATCAGCATCCGGATGCTGATGTGGCCGGACCGATCTCCACCGTCTCCTGCTCTTCCCCACTTAAGCTGCTTTTGTCTTCCCTTTTGCTTTCACAAACCCAAGGCCCCTCCTCGGGAACAGGGGTGGGGGCAGACTTGTATCAAGGGTGGAGTCCATAAGGTAACCGTTCTGAGGGACACTGAGTGCCGTGCAGAGTTGTCTGTATCCTTTAACCCAGACCACAGCCTGATGGGCAGAGCAATCCCCATTTACAGGTGAGGGGACAGCCCCTGAGGTGTTGAGCCCTGAGAAGGTGCTTAGGCTGTCTCTGGTTTAAAGTCGCTGCTGTGGGTGACAGAGGTGGGATGGACAGGCTCTTGCTGTCCCTGTTCTGTGGTCCATCGCCCAGAGGCCAACTTCTAGAAGCTTTGAATCTGAGCAGAGAAGTGGACTGGTCCCAGCTACCAGCTGCCGGCTGGGGAGGGGTGGAGTGGCCATCTGCTAACTTGTAACCACACAGTAGCCATGAGTGTTCCACTACCTTGAGTGGCAGCAGATGGCTCCTGAAGAAATAGAGGCACGGACTCAGCCAGGGCCCCACAGGCTTGTGCGGAGTTGCATCAGAATTCCAATTCAAGCCTTCCCTCCCCCTTTGCAGTGGGATTTCCCTCCGTGTTAGAGGCAGTCCTTAGTCCTAGACAGGGAACGCGGGGTCCCGCTGTGAGTCCTGGCTTCTATGGCTGGGGTCCCTGAGCCGCTCACTTCTGCCTCTGAGCCTCATCTGAAAACCTGGGACATTTATGGCTACAGGGCCCGCCTCCGGGGCTCAGTGTGTGTCCAGAAGACGCAGGTGGATACGGAGGGTAATGGGTTGTTAGCAGCTGGTAGTTCTGCTGGTTACCCCATCGTTGCTGGCAAAATTAAGGCACAGGTGACATCCCCTCCCCTCTGCAGCCCACCAGCGTCTGCAGGGCGTCTCAGAGCAAGAGGCTGTGGCTGAACCAATAGAAGCCTGTTCCTACCAAGGACAAAGTCATTTATAACCCATATCTCCTCCCTACTGGAGCCCACATGATACGTTCTCACAGCAGAAAGGCATGTTACGTTATTCTAATTTTCAGAGAATTCCCAGGATTGAATAAATCACCGGCTCTCAGAACACTGATTTGGAGAATCAGGAACGGTCTCGAATGTTTGGCGCAGAGATGTCCGTCAGTCGGCACCGAGATATCCCAGACTGTTCCGTTTCTCCTGGAAACAAGACCCTGGCCACGGGAATGCCAGGCCTCTTCCTTCCTAATTCTCATCTCTGAGCCGACAAACCTTGAAGCAGACCCCTGCCCTTGAAATGACAGCAGCAATTGTATTAAAGAATTTTGATTACAGAAGAAAAAATACCCCAGAGAAGAGAAAGAATCCATATTTCATTAAATGCTGCTTGTTTTAAAGTAGGAACATTTTCTGGGTGTCTGGGGAGCCGATGTTTTCCATGTCTTGTGGGAAAATCTGATCTTAAAAAACAGAAGATTTTCCATATAAGGGAGAAGTCATCACTTTCAGAGCTTAGGGCTAAATTATATTTCCAGAGAAGAGATTTTTTTTTTTTTTTGGTCCTGGAAAGTGTATTTACAAGCATTTATTGAGCACCTGCTATGAACCAGGTGTCATTCTAAGTGTTTAAGAAATCTGTAAGGGTATTTTTTATTCAATTGACTGTTTAATTTTTTTAATGTTTACTTTTGAGACAGACAGAGACTGAGCATGAGTGGGGAAGGGGCTCCCCCACTCCGAAACAAGGTCTGAAACAGGCTCCAGGCTCCAAGCTGGACACGGGGTTCGAACTCACAGACCACAAGATCGTGACCTGAACAGAAGTCGGATGCTTAACCGACTGAGCCATTCAGGTGCCCTTATTCAATTGACTGTTAAAGTTTTTGGGGAATCTGCTGTGTGCCCGGTGTGGTTAAGGCACTGAGAATGTAATACAGGGCAGTGTGGAGCCCCGCTTCCAGAAGCTTCCAGCCTAGCTGATGTGATGGAGATGTGGGGGTGTGGGAGTGTCTGACAGAGGACTTGTAGAAATGACATTCACAACGTGCTTATCCATTGGTCATCTTGAATGGGCAGATGGGGTGAGAAGGAACTATTCCTTAATTATCGGTGCATTTTCTGAGGCGCAAGGAGCAAATGAGTTGCCCAGATCCCTTGGGAGTGTCAAGGGTGATACCCCAAAAGCGAAGTATTTGGGTCCTAACGCAGAAGGCTCTGCACCTCACAGGGCCACCCACCGTCCAAGGATGATGAGAGCCTGTAAGAGGAGCAGTGATACCCACCCAGCAGGGGTGTTCTTGGGGCCAGAGGAGGAGCTATGACCTGGCACCCAATGACCCAAGATGGCGGTATGCCAGAGGAAGCACCTGGCGCCTGAGGGGTCCGGGGATAAGGGGACAGGGACCAGTGCTCTCAGCCCTCACCCCTACTTTGCTGCATCGCAGCCTGGGATCGTGCTCCAAGCTTCACCTGGAGCCTCACTCCCATTGATCATTTTCCCTATGTGTGTGGCTTCACTGAGAGAGTCCATAGCGTAGAAGGGGGTGGCAGGGGGTTTGTCCTCATGCCAGCACGGCTGTCCCCAACCCGGCCAACGTCACTTGACCTCTGTGGGATCTTGGCTTCCCCACTCGGAGTGCAGATCCATCATGAGTGGGCGGAGAGGTGGAGAGGAGGGGCCAGCGAGCCTCTGACAAGCTGCAAGTGCTTTGCTTTGCGGGAGGACACCTGTCCCCGAAGGCTCGGCGCGCAGGCAGGGGACCAGAAATGACTCCAGTGAGAGGGAATAAGCCCGCTTCTCAACTCTGACCTGACAGTGACAAGGGGTGATATCCCAGAATCTAGGGACAGCAAGTTTGAAGTTTACCACTGTAACAGCTTTATTTAATTTATTTAATTCACATACCATACAACCCATCTATTGAAAGTATACAATTTGGGGGCTTTTAGCGTATTCATAATTGTGCAGACATCACCACAATTTTAGAACACTTTCATTAAGCCAAATAGAATCCCTGCCGGGGGGATTCTAACCCCTACCCCACCAAGCTCTCATACCTCCCTGTCCTAATCAACCACAAATCTACCAAGTAGACTTACATCTTCTGGGCATTTTATCTTCATGGAATCTTATAACACGTGGTCTTGTGTGACTGGCTTCTTTCACTCAGCATGGCTTTTTCAGGGTTCTTCCACGTTGTAACATCTATCAGTGCTTCCTTTTTTTAAAAAAATTTTTAATGCTTATTATTTATTTTTGGGAGGGAGAGAGATGGCATGAGCTGGGGAGGGGCAGAGGGAAATGGAGACCCAGAATCTGAAGCAGGCTCCAGGCACTGAGCTGTCAGCGGGGCTGGAACCCACAAACCGTGAGATCATGACCTGAGCTGAAGTCGGACGCTCAACCGACTGAGTCTCCCAGGCGGCCCTTTGCTTCCTTCCTTTTTATTGCCAAATAATATTCCATTGTACGGATAGACCACATTCATTTGCCCATTCATTCGCTGGTGGCTCGTTGGTGTGTTTCCACTTTGGGGCAATTGTGAACAATACCGCCGTGAACACGCACGTGCAAGGTTTGTGTGGGCATGTTTTCATTTTCTTGGTCAGATACTTGGGGTTAGACTCGCTGTGTCCTGCGGTAACTCTTCGGTTTAACCTTTTGAGGACCTGCCAGACCGTGTCCCCACAGCGACTGTCCCATTTTACTCCCCCCGCCCCGAGTGGTTACGTGGGCTCCGGCATCCCCACGTCCTTGCCACCATTCGTTACCATTTATCTAGCCATCCTCGTGCGTAGAAGTGTTTCATCCTTCACAAAGCTGCAAGGGATGTGTTAAGCTTGATCACCTCTGAGTTTCTAGGATGTCTGTGGATAATTCCGTATTCAGCAACATTTACCGAAGAGCACAGGTCTGCCATAGACGGAGGAGGAGTAGCTGGCTGGCCCAACGGTCTCCACAGCCCCACGGTGGACCTCAGACTGCAGGTGAGGCCAGCAGGAGGCGTGCGGTACTAACACTCTGTCCCCTCGTCTTCCAGCGATTCACGAGTTCCCCACAGACCTGTTCTCCAATAAGGAGCGACAGCACGGAGCCATCCTGCTGCACATCCTCGGTGTAAGTGGCCTTGGGGGGGAGGGGTGTGGGGGTGCAGGGGCCGGGATGTTTCTAAACCTCAGCCAGGCTCTGCCTGTCGTGTCAAAGAAGTCCCCTCCTTGTAAGCGCCCAGCAAGGAGAACAAAGCCTGGACCCATTGTAACCCCCCTCTAGGGAAAAAAAAAGGAAAAAGAAATCTTAAAGATGTCAGGTGACTTGCTCAGTGTTACACAGCAAGTGTCCCCAGAGTTCAGTCTTCTTGTGCCCCAATTTCTGCTTTTATAAAAAAGGGAGTGATGGCATCTTTCCCGGAAGCGTGAACACGCGTGAATGTGGGTCAAGAAGTGCCCCATACACGCTCGCTCTCATGATTGCCGGGGTTCCCCGCCCCTTCCCCCCCAATGTCACCACCTTGACGTAAAACTATGGTTTAAAACTTGGGTGCACTTCTTCTCAGATTTCCCTCTGTACTTAGATGAGCCTTGGTGACAAGTGATGGAGTTCAGACAACACTTCAAAAAGGAATAGTGGGTCCGAGCCGAAGTCATCGGTAAAAGTTACTCTCCTTTTGCGAACTACAGCCTGCAGCCCCTGCCCCTGTTTGTTTTTGTTTTTGTTTTTTTTATATTTTTATTTATTTCTAGGAGAGAGAGAGACAGTGTGAGCAGGGGAGGGTCAGAGAGAGAGGGAGTCACAGACTGAAACAGGCTCCAGGCTCTGAGCTGGCAGTCAGCACAGAGCCCGGTGTGGGGCTCGAACCCACGAACCG